TCCCCCTCTCTGTGATGTCTGTGAAGAGACTGGCTGTGATGTGAAAATTAGCTTTTTGGTGCTTGTTTTTTTTTTGGAAATGGTAAGATGTCATGATGATTGTGGGTGGGGGGGGGATTTTATGGATGCAATTTTAATATCTCCCCTCCCCTCCACCCGGCACCCTTCACTAGGTACTTAGAGCGAGCCCTAATTATAGGCTGCCAGCCCCCAGCCCCCCCGCCAAATGGCGGTCTGTGTTGACGACGTCAGTGCTCCCCGCTCCCGGGTCGAGCTTGGGGGGGCCAGCTCTGCCTCCCAGCTGACACAAATGGTTCTGGGTGCTCCCCGCAGCCCCTGCACACCAGGCCGGATGCCCCCGCTTCTGTGTTCCAGCCTTGTTTTTGTGTCACCAAACCAAGCACAACGAGTAGCAGCTGTGTACAAAGAGTTTTCCGGAAGGCCGGCATTCCTCTGCTTTCTGTATGAGCGGCATGACAAAGACCATAGTGCAAACAGCTGAGGGTGTCTCTCTGGTGCAAAAGCTCCATTGTTGAGGTTGGGCAGTACCTCCTACCATCCAGGCATCTGGGGCAGTGAAGCAGGGCCCGCAGCCTTTAGCTGGGGTTCTAACCCACTGGACCGGGTTCCTGCTTCTGTACCCGTGGTTCTGCGGAAAGGCTCATATTTATGCAGTGAGTCGCTTGTCAGCCCTGATGATGAATATGTTTATGAGCTGAGTGTTCTGATTTCCCCCAAGCAGGTTCTCTCAGGCAGTCTGGGGGAGGGGGGGGGTGGTGGTCTTGGAGGAGCACTTTAACATCGCCATTCTGGGTTTTTCCCACACTCAAATTTATTCTACCCACTTCGAGAACCCAGCAGCTCCGATCCATCATCAGTGCAAATTAAGAGTCCGTCCATCTAGGCCATGTTATCCCCCCCCCCCCCATCACCCACAATGCCATTCATGCTGAGATTATCAGGTAACACTGACAGCAGCCCCTCTGCTCTCCTTCATTTATTTTACTCACCGCCCCCGGGTCATCAGTGGAGGCGCCCCGCCCCCCACCCCCCGCCCCCATCTCCACCTCTATTTCCAGTTTCTGACGTCCCAGTCTGGCCTTATTCCATGGGCATATCCCCCAGCCAAAGGTCTGTGTCCCCTTGTTCCCATGAAGCATCCCGAAATGTCATTGTATGCTGCTAACATGATGATTCTTTAGTCATACATCCTCCATTCCTGTTAAAAAGCCCTCTACCTCAATACTAACTATAACAGATTATTTTCATTATGATTATATCTCACTCAAGGTGCTCACTGTTATTTCCTGTGGGCTATTGTAGCTATTCTATATCTCTATGCAGCCTGCGCGGTCAGTGAGTTGAGATGTTATACCTGTGATCAGAAGGTCATTGGTTTAAATCCCAGGGTCGGCATAGTGATGTCAGCATTGGGCCCCTGAGCGAGGCCCTTAACCCCCAATTGCTCCAGGGACTGTCTGTCCTGCTTTCTCAAGGAATGTCGCTTCGGATAAAAGCAACTTCTGTATTGATAAAAATGTAAACAAAGTAATTTAGCATAAACAAGAGGAATGTGTCAGCTTAATGTAGGTCCTGTTTATTACATGAAATTAACATATGAACAGCTCCTCAAAAATTATGTATTTTGCTTTGGCGGAAAGGTACAGAAGCCAGGAAAGGCCATGGAATACTATTCTTTTATACGCTTTTCTTAAGATAACTGAACGACTTTTCTTGACATCTTGAAAAAACGAAAACGTCATTTTCTCATGATAATGGAATAATTTTCTCTAGATCTTGAGAAAACGAGCGTAGTTTTTTTCATGATAGAAGAGTAACAAGAAGCATCAATTAAATTGCGCAGTTCAATTAAAATGCAGAGGCAAAGTTAACATTTGATACTTTAACATCAGAGCCATTATTTCATTTCAAGTTTGCTGGGTGGGCAGAACATAAGCAACAAAAAATGTGGCACTGTTCAGATATTTAAGGGTTGCTCTGTATGTCCGCCATTGCGCAGATGGAACAGTATTCACTACAGCACATTTTTGCTTAGAGGAATAACCTCCAGCGATTCAAACAATTTGTTTAGATTTGAATGTTGGTGTGATGGTTTGTTTCTTTACATCAAATTTAAGTCTCCCAGTATCATGGTGCAACATAGAGACAGGATCTGTTAATAAAGCATAAAGCTATTTCAGCCTGTATCAAGCCTTGATTAAAAAAAAATGTGATGTACTGATCAATATATTGTAATTTCAAACAGGATGACTCCACCCATGATATGCTGTGGCTGCAATATTCTGAGCACTAGGCTATATGTTAATCCTTGTAATTACTGTATTCCATTATCATGAGAAACCGGCATTTGTTATCTTGAGATCTCGGAAAAAAAATGTCCACCATAAAGAGAAAAGAGTCTTAAAAAGTAATGATATTTCTTGGCCTTTCTCGGCTTCCATAAAAAGCATCTGCAAAATTAATAAAATGTAAATTGTAATGCTTGGAAATACCAACAACCAAATGCAAGCATGTGACCAAAGCTCTGTGCCGTCCCCCCCTCTGAGAGTGAAAAGCACCTGCCCAAAGCGGCCGGCACAGCCGCCTCTGACGGGAACGACTGATGTCGCTCTCCGGATGGAGATTTTCCGTCCCGACGGGAGCGGCGGATCTGGCGTGTCGAACCTCTTATCCGGCTCCCCTCTCTGGGTCTCCACACGCTGGCTTGCTGTTAAAATTCCAATGGCATACACCAAACCCTCCTGGAGGGGGTGAAGGAGCCAGCTATTATCAATTAATCTTTGCTTTCCCCCCCCCCCACCCCCTCTTGCAGAGACTCGCACCATATGCTTCTCTGTCAGCTCCTGCTTTTAATTTACTCGCTGTCTCTGCTGTGAAAACAGACCAACAATTTATCTGAATTGCTGATTTAATCAGGAGAGTGAGAAGCAATGGTGGAGCCCCATACCATCAAGCCCCGCCCCCAATGCACATATAAACACATGCGTGCACACACAGGCGTGATGCTCTCTCAGTAGTGTACACACAAACATACATCACACTAACAAATGTGAAAAAAACGCACATTAAACACATAGAAACATGCACACATGTCCCCTTAAATCAGTGCTTCTCATCCCATTCCCAAGGGACCCCCAGACAGTCCTCCCAGCTCCCAACCCACCTGAACCAGGTCTTCATGACTGTTTGGTTCGTTCTAGATTGCTTGGTTTGTTCTTGCCTGTTTGGTTCAGATTAACTGGGATGGAGCAAAAATGTAGATCATCCTGGGGTCCCCGGGGACTGGTTTGAGAAACACTGCCTTAAATGACGCACACATGCACGGTGACATGCTGGACGCTCACTCTCTCATACACGCTCACAAGCGTAGGCACAGGTAACCATCGAAATCTTCCTCTTTCCACGTGTGCGTCTGGGTGCCACAAAAAATTCACATCATTACATTGACGAGTCCCCAAAAGCTGGTTCTGCGTTTCCAGCTGTAACTTCCAGCTGACAAATTTAATTTGTTCTGCTAAGAGGTGTGTCAAATTAGACACGGAGACACCTTTCTTGACAGGTGAGACGGCACCTCTGAGGCCGGGGGATTGTTGTGGACCTGCTGGTACCTCTTGCCAGGTTAGTGAGGCCAGACTGTGGATCAGAGCTGGGGTTCCCCATAAAAAGCTGGGCACAAAAAAGGACGGCGATATCCCTGAAGCTCAGAAGGAGGCGTCCTGTCTGCCACTAGGAGGCCACCAGAGACGCTGCAAAAACCTCATAACCGCTATGTGGGTCTCAGCAGGAGCGATAGAAAGAGTTTGGCTGAGGTTTTGGAGGTTCCATTAACCCTTAAAAAACAGTTCATATACCTTTTCCATCAATGACATGATTGTTCATCATCTATCACAGTTTCTCAGCTGGTGGGACCACGTTTGTGGTGCGGGACCATTTTGGTGTGTGGTTATACAAAATAAAATTACGATCAAAAACCCTCCACCAGGTTATCATATTTTAGTCCTAGATGACTGCACCCCCTACCCCCCCCCCCCAATAAATTTGGTTCAAAATGATTTAAACCATTTGTTCAATACATGCAACAATGCAAATGTCAAATACTATATTATTTGTTAAATAAGACTCTTGTTACCAGATAGATGAAGATCATAAATTAAGATTATCCCAAAGGTCCGTAAAACCTTTCCTCACACCTGTACACAGTTAACCAGTGCATTATAATGCATGTTGATTTACTTTTGATGTAGTTTTGATGTAGTAGTTTAGCTGCTGTGTCCTTCCAAAGCAGATTACGGTTTCCACACCCATGTACATATCCTTCCGGAGAGATCCGGGCCAGGCTCCTCGCTTGGGAGTCCGACAGCGAGTCCCATCCCGGGAGTTCAACTGACAGCTTTCATGTTACGAATTCATTATCCTCCACCTCCTGCCATACTGACATCTGCGTGTAGCTATAGTGGGTCGCTTAATTAGCCTATCTATTGACTTATTGGCTAATTGTGTTGGTGTGGTAGGCGTATATCTGGAGTTCTGTTTTTCACAAACGGTACACGTCAAACACGTTGCTCGGCATCAATGCCCATAGATTCACACTCCCACGCATACGTACAGCTATGAGTAACGCAGAAGTCATACATGGAACCGCTGAACGTTTACAAGCAATATATCTCATGTGGTCTTCACAACGCTTCTCCTGGTGATGGTCTCAGTGGTAGCTGGCCAAACTGCTCAGTCCGGACACGTTTCCTTGTGGTCGTAGACTCTACCTCATCCTGGACAATAACCAGACCGTCCTCCAAATAAGCAATAAGCCCCCATAAATTTGCATGTGGATTAATTTGTCATTGTCTCGATTTCCTGCGCCACGCGAGTTCAGACGCAGTCCCCTCGGCAGCAGGGAGTCTCATGCTGGACCCGTGACAGAGCGTGCGCCCCCAGAGAACATCCCGTAGGGTTGTGGAGAGATCACTTCTCCATGTTGTGTGCATAACACGTTTTGTGTTACCGCAGGAGATCCCAGCAATGGGGAGAGGGAGAGCCACTGACGTGTGTGGGGAATATTGGCTCTTTGTGGCGGGTGAGGTGTCTGACGTTTGGACATTCATGTGGACTCACAAGAAGTATGGAAGGTGTGAAATCTCTTATGTGTATCTGACGTGTTTCCCCTCGATGGCGAGGATCCAGGCCCGCGATATTTGTCGGTACCAGGGGTCTAAGTGGCGTTGCACTTCTGGGGGGAGGGATCTGGCCAGCGGCCCCCAGGGGCCCCCCAGTGCGCCATCCAGCCAATGCACAGGGCGGCTATGCAGCTGTAAATGATGGGGGTGCTCAGGTGGCCCGGAACTGCTGATCTTGAGTGAGCCAGCGGTTGCTCCGAACACAAGTTTCTGCTGACCCGACCCCCCAGCTTGGGAGTGCTTAGCCCCCCACCCCCCCCTCCAGCTCATAGTAGTGTGTGGTCGCATCATGGCAAATGGGAGTAGCGGAAATCCCCCCCCGTGACGGTGTACACTCTTACTTCACTATGCTGCTTCTAGCAGGCCACTCCAGTGAGTGCAACTGGCTTAATTACCCCACGAGGACAGTAAAGCCTGAACAGGCACATCGGCTCTTACAGGGAAAGGAGGAGAGATTAAGAGACAGGCAGCAAGACTTCAGCCAGAGCTGGACCGCAGAGTGCCGTACAGCGGCTCGCAGAAACCCATGGAAATCCAATCCCTCTCGCCACCATTCCGTCTCGTTAGCAAAGTGCAAGTCGCACCTCCAGCTCTTGTTTGTTCACTTGAAGAGGAGCTGATTTGGCTGACGGCAGAGCAAGACCTCCAAGAAATCCAGCGTAAAATGTTCTGCTCTGATCCTGATCCAATTCTGATACAGGAACAAAATGAATAAATAAAATGATTAAAAACTTAAAAAGGTTAAACAAAACACTATATTCTCGGCGGGCCTCATTCAGCAGGTCTCATTTATCTGGTGTCCTTAAAAATTTGCATACATTTCCTGGTAAAACATTTCTTAGGAGCACCTGATGTTGGATTTACTGAGGTTACTGGTAAATACACTCTGATTGTAGCCACCTACAAATTTTTTGGTCCAAATTAGATGTGCGTTCTTGCTGTTTCCCATTAGCATAAACCGTGGGTTTAATTTCATGTTGGGAGACTCTTCCGGAAATGAAATGCACAGTGTTAAAGAAAAAGCAAAGACAAAAAAGTATCAAACGCTGCAGCTATTCATCCGTATTCCGTATCCACCCAGGGTCGCATTGAACTCCGGATGGGATGACAGTCCGTCAGGCACACTATGGGCAATTTAGAGACGCCAGTTTGAGACTACTGGAAGAAAACAAAGGACCACAGGGAGAACATGAGAACATCCTATTGTTCCACACACAGAACAGAGAAGGGATTCAACCCCCCAGAGGTGTGAGGTCACACCAACATCTTGTCTCCCCTTTAAACCTTTATATAATTATTACCATGCATGCAATCAGAAGAGACAGGATACAACTATACCCTGCAAATATGGTTACCTTTTGTTTAGCAGATACCAGAGCAATTGGGGACAAGGGTCTTGGTGAAATCGTGGGATTTGAAACAGTAACCTTCCAATCACAGGGCCACCATCCTAACCCACAGAACCGCAAACCACACATGTACCAGATAAAATTAAGTCTTAAACACCATATCGTGTGACTTACAAGACCATCTTTTTGCTGTATCAGATTTAGAATTGGAATACATGCTTTTAGTGTTTAAATAAGTAATGCAGTTGTGTCTGCCACCACCCATGTCACAGGGTAGAGGTCATCATATTGCCGGCACTGCAAATACTTATGTAAAATATATATATACATATTGTTCACAAGGTCATGAAAACTACACACAAACCAATTCATAACAGTCACTAATTGTTAGTTGAATTCATAATATATTTGCAATTCACTTACTCTGTGAACCTTTAAAAGCAGTTGGTAGATCTATGGATAGATGGAAATTTGATAGATCATTCATCAAATAAACTTGTAATAAATGTATGTGTGTGGTCTGTAGTATTTTGGCCTAGTGCATAGCAAATAGCATGTCCGCATGAGAAAAAACTGTGAATACAAAAATATATTGAGAAATGCTCTTAAATATAGTCTCACAATTTTATGTAAAGATACAGAGACTATCACCACAAAACCTTGAAAAGCATTCTCAATATTATTACAAAAAAAAAAAAAAACGATATTGCTAACCAATTTTGAAGGTGAGGAATATTGAAAAGTTTTAAAAGTTGTGGTTGTTTTAAGTGTTTCAAAAGAAAGAGAGTTTCAAGGAAAATAATTTTTTTCTGGACTGAATTCCTAGTTGAGTTGTTGGGGGTGGGGGTGATTTTCACATACAAAACAAACTCTTGACAGGAAAAATACAGACTGACCTTCTGGTGCTGGAGAAAACCGTCCATCCTCTGAGCCTGGAAATCAAGCTTGAGAACATTACTGTCAAGAAAGCAGACCCATCACTGACCTGTGGGAAAAACAAGAGTGCAAAACTGACCGCTTTCATTTACATGGTGCAGCATACGTCCTTAACACAATGCAGCGTGTTTGGCTACCACGAAAAACCCAGGGTGCTACGCGACGTTCCTGATTTAAAAAAAGTAAGAAAAATGGGAGGCTGACACAAAATAAATCATTCCCTCCCAATCAGGAGGGGAATTCAGACAAGCATCTCGTTTGATTATCTAGCCAATAGGGGGATGGGGGGGGCAGCTGTCTGGGTCCCACCCCTCCCCTCCAAACTCCAGTCCCATCGGCTCCCAACAACAGAAGGTCGACCGCCTATGCTGGAGAATATGATTAAGGGGTGACCAGGGAGCCTCTTCGCTTGATTCACAGTTGTGTGTTGGTATCAAGCTCTCCACACCTGTGGTTCTCCAAGTCCCCAGAGAAGAGGAGCCTGAAAGGAGGGGAGAGCTAAGGGGGGGGTGGGAAGGAGGTGTAGAGAGAGGGTGAATGAAAACTGGGAGCCTCAGAGATTAAAGCGACAAACAGCGGATTTCACTGTCTTTACACTGGAGTGCATTCTTCACCTCATTTCACAACTGGGAAATGTTGCTGTATGTGATGCTTCAAATGTACGATGGAGAAATGCCCAGGGTTGTTTTCTCAAGCATACGCAGAATCTGCTTACACATCTCAGCCTGGGAAGGCATCGCACACATTAGTTGTGCACTTGATCCTGGAGCGAAGGGTCTATCTAGCCATGAGGTACTCTGGATGAAGTTGTCGAGCGTCTGGAAGAGCCCAGTGATCAAAGCCCAGTGATCGCAGGAGACATAGACGCACTGACGTGCTACATGAATGCATCTTCAGAACATCTTTGGGGTTTGGATGTTGGCTGCATATGAATCTACTAGAGACCACATCAGGCCACAACTGCCCACATCAGTGGGGGGGGAGGTTCTTTGAAGTCCATGGGGTTAGCATTGAAGTTCCTTGGATTTGCTACGGCCTCCATCCTGCTCACCATTCTGGAACACAGGTTATTAAAATTCCCCACCTGTCCAATATGCAGTCTGAATTTTAGCTTCTACTATCTGGGCTGAGACTGGACACTCTGGGTCCTTATGAGACAAACTCCTCCCCCAAACCCATGGCTAGATAAAGCCTTCTATAGCCTTCAATTGGCTAGACAACATCTGGTCCCACCCAGTGAGATCTGAACCCATGTCCTACCATAGCCTCAGTGACGAGGAGGACTCACATACTTTTTCCAGTCACTGGTGCTGATGCCCAGTCTTCAGTCTATGCTTGAATCAGCCATGACCTCATCTCAACTCAGTGTGAGACTCTGAATAACATTCAGCACTCTTTGCATGGTTAAAAATCAATAACCGTATTACATCACCTTTTGAAAGATCACAAAAATTCAAAGAACAGCTAAATAAGACAGGGTGAAGATCCCCTTACTATTACTATCGCTACTGTTTAGTCAGATCGAGATTTTTCTGTGACAGAGATGTACTCTCAACCATCGTTTTAATGCTGGGGATAAAGTACATGACAGGCACATAACAATCTGCACGCAACACACATATCATGTGCCCTCTAAGCCATCTACAAATCAAACGTGGATATTAGTAATGTATAGATCAAATGAAGAGCTTCCAGACAACGTCGTGCATCAGGGCCCAGTGGAGAATGAAGAAAATGGATCCGGAGGGCTGGCTTTCATTATCCGAAGCAATTAGTCCTCCATTTTATTTTTATTTTTATTTATTTATTTCCCCCCCCCCCCACCCATCACACCCACACAGGAGGGGGAGAGGAGAAAAAACCAGAGCTCTCGGTGAGCACAGGCAGGCCGCCGCGGCGAATGACAATGGGCCGTGTCTGAGCCGCACGGCAGAGATGCAAGGCCACTCTAATTGTACACCTGCGAGAGCGTGCGCTGAATCCTCCCGTAACAATTATGCAGATGACTGTCTCAGCCTCTTTCGCTCTCTAATGCAGCCTTCCTCTGGCTTTTCAAAGCCCAGCCTCTCCCTCCTATGCGCCATTACAGCCGGACAATGAGCGATTCAGGCGTGGAGCTCGATGGGATAGACGGACTTAATAAACCGGCCGATACGGACTTCAGAGGAAGGGGGGGTGGGAAGGAAGACTCAATAAAGCGTGTTCATTACAGACATCGCTAACTTGCGGTAGGTCCAGAGGGAGACAACTCCCATTGGAAAAAGCAGTCCGGATTGGTCACGCCGTTCATGCCATTCCGGAAGTGTGAAGCACTGCTTCTCCGCCCTGGGTACCACTCATGTGGTACCAGTACTTTGGGGGCTGCTGCTGTTCAGAATCAAATTAGCAAAACAAATCAGGCATATGATGCGAAACCTCACTTGCGTTTTTTTTATTGCCACCCCCCTCCCCCAAAAGTTGCAGCCTTCTTGCCATGAGGGTCCCCATGGACGGGGCCAGATGTTCCTGCTGCACACGTCCCCCTCGCCTGCTAATGCAATATTCATAGGCTGCCGGGAGCACGCCCGCTTGTTTGTTTGTTTGTTTATTTATTTATTTCATCATTCTGCACAACAATGGGATACATACCATGCATTCCTCCCTCCCTCTCTCTCTCTCTCTCTCTCTCTCGCACATTCCCATTGTCTGCTACAGTCTTATAGTCCACAGCATCTATTCATTTTTTCACCATTCTGGTCCGGCTCCTGTAGAGGATGTATTCTTGGCCCTGGGCCTCCATGGAGGAGGAATGTAACAGAGGGGTTGAGAGGTTCATATGGAGCAGGCCAGTCAGCTCAGTTTGGACCATTATCGACCATTTGTGAGGAGAATCACCCCGGCGCAGGTCAGCTGACCTCTCCCTCTCACCCAGCATTCCAGCAACTTTAACGATGAACTTTATCGATCCCAGGGGGAAATTCTGTTGCATACAGAAGCAGGTAAAGTGCAGACAAACAAACATACAGTGCAAAACAAGACTAAGTGCATAGACAGTAAACATATAACAGACGAAAATAAGATGCTTAAAAAGTACACAATGCACAAACATGAAGTTCTGAAAAAGGACATCGAGGAAATAAACAATCAAACAAATAAATCATGATAATAATAAATTAACATAAAGTTATATGTTCAAATAGTCAGCATGGGCCGCTAGCTCTCCATCTCATAAAGTCCTCACCCTTACCCTCCACTACTGCAGTACTATAACCAGAGTGGGGACTGAGTCGCTGGCTGCATTCAGCAAGACCCACACATCAGCAAGCTTTTGGAAAATCCTCCTCTTTAACCAGGACCTCTGCACTGAAGGCCTGACAAGCAGCGCCATTAGCATCTCGGTGTGAACTGCGCAATGGCATCGGCTTAAATCGAGGGCTTATTGCCGCCTGTAGCTGATGCTGCACTTCTTCACAGCTCCACAGTGTGTTCAGCACTTACCAAGAACTGCTCTGTGCTCCTATCTCCTGCTACTCTCTGCTCTGATCTGTATAAGGGCATATACCCGATCAATAAATAATAATACATGAATAAAGTATGCAGCAACCCTGTGCATCTGACTCACAATTAAGCTGGAAATCAATAAAGCGGCTCCATCGCATATTGTATTTTTTATGCGCTCGGACTCGGAGAGTTCGCTGTAATTAAATGTAAACGGTTTAATTTCACAATGTGGTCTTGGTAGGACATTGTGTGCTGTGGTCTTTGGAAACGCAGCTAATCTGAGATACCCGGAGCATGGCGAGTGTTTTACGATTTTACAGCAGTGTGGCGTTAGAGGGAGGCTGGGAGTGTAGGAATCAAGCATTGGGGACTTCCTCTTGAGGCTAACAGCACGTGTAGGTCATCAAACAGAGAATTATGCTAACGATGTGTTATAACCTTCTCCTTTATCATAAGCCACTTTGGTGAAAAGTACCAGTTAAATATATGTAAGGCTATACACAAAGATAATCCCTTTTATTCCATCGAAAGACCTGCCCTGCTATTTCAAGTTATTTAATTGGGGTTGTGTTGAGATTCTTTCATGACTACTGGAGCATAGTAAACAAAATGTGATTGGACTGGCCACTCCATTGATTGGCTGCCTTTAAGTTGGTCCTTTTATGTCACAGTAGGGTCACAACACCCCCATCACCTTCCTCCAGAGAAGAATCTCCTGGGAATCCCAGTACGAGGCCCAGGCCCCTCTATGGAACCTACCACACAGAAGACAAACACACATCCAGCTCCAGCGTGTCCGCAGGAGCCCAGATGCGCCGCACGTGATGAGATGAACAGCAGAGCGGAGCATGACGCGACTTGACTCGCGTCCAAGGTGACAGCTGACGGCGGAGGCAGTGACATCACAGCGCCAGTAGCGCTGGCAGCAGATGCCGCAGCAGCTTTCCAGGCTTCCCTGCCAAATCTGTGCACCAGTGTGCTGGCCTGTCCTTTTGGCCACACCCCCTCCTCTGTGGGGACCACACCCCCTCCGCTGTGGGGACCGCCCACCTCTGTAACCTCCCCTCTTGCTTCCACCGGGAGTCCCTGGGGGAGCTCAGCTCAAGACTGGCCAGTTGCTGTGGAACACTGGCAGAATTATTTCTGTCCAGATTGACCCCTAATGGCTTTTTCCTTAAATTGCTGGCTAATTAGAGATTAATAAGTCCGTCGGACGTCTGGGGAATCACACGCCCAGATATTTTCAGTTTTAATCATGGTGCTTTGGCAGTGCACTAGCGTGGGAATGTGGTGTGCATTCTGATGTAGGTGCAGAACCATGAGCCTGGGCATAAATGCAGGGATTTAAATGAGTGTCTCTTGCGTAAAAGTTCAGTGTTCTCCTGGACACGCTTCAGAAGTCATCCCCCTCATGGAATAAGGCCACACACCAAATGTGTATCATTGCTGGTATTTGTGTTTCAGAGTTTGCCAGTGCAAGGGGGTGTATGTGGGTGTATGCAGTTACCCCTCCATACCAAACCCTTGCCCCCACATTATGAAGGAAGCTGTCTACTTTCAG